AACATAACTTAATTTCAAGTGGCGATTCTGAAAAATCAAAATAATTTCTATTCAATAACGTCACTTAAATTGGAAAAACTCTTATGTCGTGCGTTGAAAAAGAGTGTGACAATATATATATATATATATATATCATACCAATTTTTTGGAGAAAAAAAACATTTAAAACGACTTAAATTATTTAAAATTGAATAAAAATATCATTTATTAATAAATTTAAGCTAAAAATAGTTTTGACATTAATATATAAGTCTAAAAATCTATTCTTATTAATAGTTTAATTCCAAAATGGTCTATTTTATTTTTTGGGTCAAAATATGATAAATATATTATTTGTCATACTTTTAGACATGTTATTTTTCATGAATCTTTTTGAAGAACCTTTTTAGTGTTCTTTTAAGGGATAATACCCAATTACCCCCCTAAGCCTATACCCAAAATCCCTACGACACACCTTATCTTTGATGAGGTCCTATTACCCCCTCCGACTTATTTTTTAAGTAATATACTACCCCTTGCGTGCCTACGTAGCAAAAATAATCTGCAATGTCCATTTGTTTGTTGAACACGTGCCGGGACCCACTTTTCACTTTTCGATAAAGTGACTTTACACTTCCCTAGTCTGGCGTTTACTCTTTCCCAAATTCATTTTACCGAAAAAGTAGATGAAGATAGAGGGAAAGTATTTGCATGTGTGATTTCAAAGCTAAGAAATTAGATTTTCAGTCAAAATTTGATTTTCGTTGTTGGATTTTGGGAGTTAATTTTTGGTTGCAGTGTGTGGATCGATTTCAATCGTGACAGTGTGGGACGTGGGTCGATTTCATTCAGCAAGAATCGTGACTGAGTTGAGTTCAAAGGTTAGTTTTTTCTTCATTTATTTTGTTTTTTGTTGTTATGCTTAGATTTTGAAGTGGTTATGCTTAGATTTTGTAGGGGTTATGAAATGTTAAATATTGATTTCGATTTTGAGTGAAATATAACTTTTAGGGTTTATGTTGTGGTTCTGTTAGATATCAAATTTCTTATTTTTAGGGTTGATGTTATTCATATATTCATACTGTCACCTTTGTTGTTATGGGTGTATGTAACTTGTTATTCATACATTTATATGAAACGTGTTTTGGGTGTGGGTTGGTTGGGTGGTATTATTTTTGTGTGAGTTATGTTGTTATAATATGAAACATGCAAGAAGATAAAGACGAGTTGGGTGTTTTTCTGTGCTGTCTTATATTCTGGGTTACAATAAAGTAACTTCATGTTGGGTATTGTGTTGTGTCTGTGTGGGTGTGGGGTTAAAGTTAAATAACATTATCCTAAGAAAAAAATATATGTTGGATGTTGTGTTGTGTCTGTGTGGGGTTACATACCTAATTGTAAGAAGATAAAGATATGTCGTGTATTGTGTTATTTATGTGGGGTATTGTGTTCTGTATGTGTGGGGCTAGGTATGTGTTTTCTTCAACTTGAATTGTTTTTATAACTATTTGGGTATGTGTTTTCTTAGTCAATTATTATATTCTATTAGCAACTTTTACTTAATTATTGTTATGTTTATGCATATAGGTATGAGTGGGTTTACATTCATTACTTTAAAGTTTTATCATGGTGGGGCCTTGTTGTATGAAGGTGATAAAGCAAGATATGTGGGTGGGTTAGTGAGTGAATATTATGATATTGATGTGGATACAATATCATACTTTGAGATTAAGGACTATATTAAAGAACTAGGGTATAGTTCAAATTGTAAATTTAGTGTCCGGCCACCTAATAGTTGCATTTTAGGAGATATTGACAATGATGATATTCTCTTAGCAATGTGCAATTGTTTGCAAAGTGGTTCTGTTTTGGAAGTATATGTCCACATGCCTGGTGAGGATTCTGGTGCAACTTTTAATAAATTTGGGACCACTGAGGATAGTGGATATAATCAAGGCGAGGCTGCTTATAATGGGGTAGATATAACTATAAATACTACCTCAAATATTCTTTCTACTTCAAACCCAACAGCTCTAAATAGTGATCCATCATATTCTGAAGATAGTGAATACTCTGTAAAAGAATCTGATGAGTCAACTGAAGAGAGTGATGATTCTGAAGATAGTGAAATACTTGAAGATGATCAATATGAAAGTGATGTTCATGAGGAGTTAAGT